AAACAAACATATGGGGACCATAGCTATTGATATGATATTGAGAGTTTGAGATTTTTCCTATTTAATATAGCTCGCTATACTTGTCATAGTTAATTGATTAATGCATTGCTAGAACATTGTGATATGAAAACATGTTTGAATGAGCTTATCGTGCAATTAAGGCACTGATTTGAAAAGTTTGTGGGTATCTTCACTGGAAACCCTCACGAGACTACAACTCATCCACTAAGGGTAACCTAAGGGTTTAAAGGCTTGTTGCATAAGCTAAATGCAATCGTGCATGATTCTCATGAAAGCGGTTTTTTAGTTTATATTGCTAAGGAACTAGCAATATGTAAGTTTGGGTTGTGATGAGCACTATATATTGCATATTCGAGCCCCTGAATATACGTATTTTAAGACCTCAAGTAGTACTTCTATCCAATTGTAGACTGATTTATGTTAATTTCGTGTTTTTAGGTACTTTTTCCAAAGAAATGGTTAAAACCAAGCTTTTGTGATTAAAAGACTGACATTGAAGCTTACAGAGTCATTGACCAGTCATTTGAAGCAAGCCGAGAGTCAAAAGGGGTGATTTTGGAGAAGTTCAAGTGTTAAGGCTCGAGCCCTTGTTCCTAAGGCTCAAGCCCAAAACCAACTAAAGCAAGAATTCCAACTAAGGTAAACAAAGCTCAAGCCTAGTTCTTAAGGCTCGAGCCCAAACTTAAGGTACTCGAGGCCTTGTAAGAGTGCTTGAACCCAAATTACGTAGGAATATCAAAAGTCACTTTAAAAACTCCAGATTGCCAGAGCTCGAGCCTTTATCGATAAGGCTCGAGCCCCAAAGCATGGTAATCGAGTACTGTTAAAGATTCATCCCAAAAATATTATAAGTATTGAAGAAAAAGATGCTTCGAAAATTATTTGAAGAAAAATAGCTAAGTGTTGACGTTATGCTCGATCCCTATCCTAAGAGGCTCGAGCCCAAACCCTAAGGCTCGAGCCCAGAGTCAAAAGGCTCGAGCCATTGCTATTTAGTCAGACTTCATTGATGCGGGATTTGTCTTATTGAAGTCCTTTTTCATCCAAGATGGGCCCAGACTACCCTAGAAGACCTAAAAGCCCGTCCAACCCTTATTAGAAGTTAATTCTTCTATAAAAGGAGGCACAAGGCCACAGATTAGAAAATCCTTCCTTTTAGTTATTTTATCTCAATTAGTGGCGGTTGTTAGGGTTTCGAATGTGGAGATCCCAAAAAGAGAATTGCGGTCCATGGCGATGAAGACCACAACAACACAGATGATATCTGACGTCATCATGAGTAGCTAATTCATTTCTCATGGCATTTATGTAGCCCAAATTCGAGTATTATGGTTTGATCATTCTTAACTTTAGGGATTTATAAGTTCATGTATCTTGATTGCATAATTATGAGCAACTGATTACGGATCAGTTGGTGTTTTAATGAAATAATATTTTTGAATAATTATTACATTGTTTTAGATATAATTGTTTTAAAATTGTTTTCAACCTATTCTTACTGGACAGTATGGTGGAAGCCTACCGGACATAAGAATGGAGATTATGTAATGATGTTCAAACGTTTTTCATGAATGAATGTTTTCCTAATCTATGCTTAGGGAAGACGAGTTATATTGCAACATTAGATTAAAAGTAGGTAGGTAGATAATTCGTGCCAATCGAAGATAGGTTATAGTTAGTTGAAGTTCATGGAACATCTTTCTTTAAAACCCGAATTAAACGAATGTTATTGAGTTTAATTCATTTGATACATAAATTGTGAAATCTCAAGGTTGAATGGTTCATCATAATACAGGATTCGTGGTGAAGTCAATCCCTAAGACTTTCACTTTTTTGTATCTCATCTTTATCTTTAATTTAGTTTTTATTTAATTTTATGTCCGTGACAAACAACCAAATCAATCAACTTTTCTCCTTGAATCAAAATCATATTAATTGGATGCTTAAATAAACTATGACAGTCTCTGTGGTTCGATTCCCTTAATATAACCCTATTCTGCAAAGATTCGTGCTATTGCGGATGGTATAATTTGACACACATCAATCCTCTCAACTTATTGTTTAAAATTTTGAATTTGATTAAGGGTTTTGTAGTCTAGTGATATGTTTTTTTAAGGTGAAAGGCGTGTGTTTAGGTCTCCATAGGGACACGAGTTTGTTAGCTTCTTGTGAAAAAAATAAAAAAATCTGAACTTCAATTGAAAATTTTGGATAAAAAAATTAGATATATATAAAGAATGAAAATTGTGGACAAGAATCCTCTCCAGTGGAACAGTAAGAGATGTTTTGTCTGGTTCGGGATGCAACTTACAAAAAAAAAAGTTGGGATGTTTATGAAATATCCCAATCTTTTGGGTGCATCTAGAACCGGACGGAATATAATGCAGTGTTCACATAAGCAGATTTTCTTCCTAAGGCCATCTCCAATGAGCTAGTTAAAGCCTATTTCCAGCGAGCTAATGCACTATAGGCCACGCAGCGGCCTAGCTAAAACTAATGGGGCCCATTAGCGATCACGGGCCGGCTCGCAGTATTCAGCGAGCGGGCCCGCAATCGTTGGCCTTTTTTTTTTTTTGACGGCGCCATTTTGGGCTACTATTTTGTCTTATCTGTCTAGTGGAACAATGTCCAAACAGTGCCTTGGCAAAATTATTTAAAAAAAAAAAAAAAAAACTAAAAATAGGTTATTTTGAGCTTTTTTTAGAAAAAAAAAATTAAAATAAAATTCATGAAATAAAAAATATATTGTTTAGGCACAGTTTATCGAAAAAAAATTATTTGGGCCAAAAATAAATTAAAAAAGCTTTTTTTTTTTCCCTTAAAATTTGTTTTTTTATTTTTTATTTTTTACTTTAAATTTTAAATGTATACCACAAACAATGCATTTTGCCATTAAGGCACTGTTTGGCCGACACAAATAGTGCCTTGACGGCCATAATTTTTAAATATATATATATAATTTTTTTTTTTTTTAACTTTTGTAAAAAAAAAAATTTTAAATTACAAATTCATTTACTTATTCCCATAGGATTTTGTAATCCTTATTTTCTTATTCCAATTCATTATTTTTAATCCTTATTTTGTAAACCTTATTTGGTTATCCTTATTTATTCGGGCCAAAAATAAATAAAAAAAGCTTTTTTAAAAAAATTTTTGTAAAAAAATAATTAAAATTACAAATTTATCTACTTATTCCTCCTACAGGATTTTGTAATACTTATTTTCTTATTCCAATTCATTATTTTTAATTTTAAAAAACCCCATTATATAATAGAAATTCTAATACACGAAATGTCATAATATCTTAAAAGCAAACAAAATGCAACATAAATTAAACATATTCATCAGCATAGCGGTTCCATAAAATATAACTGTTACGAATATAGCCGTTTAGAAAAAGTTAAATTAAAAAAATATATTTTTAATTTTTTATTATTATTTTTTGGAGAGCCAAAATTCGGATAGCCTGGATGGAGTGCATATTTCTGGAAAGCGAAAACTGCTGACGTAGCTCTTGGAATTGCTGACGTGACTCTTAGAAAAGCTAATGTAGCATTTTTAAAGAGCCAAAATTCGGAGAGAAAGGTGCAAATGGCCTAAGCATTGCATAAATAAATTATATATATATATATATATATATATATATATATATATATATATATATATATCATCTTTTGTGAATAGTATGTTCTATTCGAAGACGATTCAGGTATATATATCCGGTTAGGATTAAGACTAAATTTGGGGGTGTAAATCCTCTGCTGTGCAGTTTCCATGCTGTCTCCTGCAGTGAGCGTTAAGTGGTCTTAGTTTGGCCACGTTTTACTCGACTCAATAGACACTAAGACTGTGTTTGGCAATTACACTACTATTTATAAGTAACATTTCACCACCATTTACGAGTAACATCACAGAAGTCTAAAAATAATATCACATGAGTCTAAAAAGTAATATCACCATTTGTAATTACACCACTATTTATAAGTAACATTTCACCACCATTTATAAGTAATATCACAGAAGTCTAAAAGTAATATCACAGAAGTCTAAAAAGTAACATCACCATTTGTAATTACACCACTAGACAACATCTTGCGGATTTATTCCTGTAATCACTTCCGAAAGGTGTAACCCTTTTTCTTCTCAATTGGGTTTCTGTTTATTCTCACTCCTCTTCAGATATACTCTGTCTATCTCCATATGCTTTTCTTTTTCACAGGTTCAATAAATCTGCAAAAGATACAAACTTTAGAACCAAACCTTCTCAAAGTGGTACTTCTGATTTCATACTTTGTTTCAGTTTCATAAATTTGGGTGAAAAATATAATGTGGGTTTGGGTATATCTGTGTTGATAGCAATGAAAGCATCTGCCCTGTTCTTGTTTTTTGCCTACCTTTCAAGCATTGGCTTCTTGTTTTCGTCAATACCCTTTTTATATGCATCTTTGGTGTCGTGTCAATTGCTTCTCACCCATCTTTTAATTCAAGTTTTTTTAATTTTGGTTTAAATTATTTAAATTAACATGTTAAAGTGTTTTTAAAATACTTTAATTTCAAATTATAATATAAATAATATGTTGAATTGAGTTACGTTTGAATGTGACATTACTTAATCTGCATTATGTGCATACCTTATTTTTAGAGTGAAAATACTTATAAATAGTAGTGAAATATTACTTATAAATGCTGGTGAATTGAGCTACGTTTGTATGTGACATTACTTAGTCTGTATTGTATAAATATCTTATTTTGAGGGTAAAGATACTTATAAATGGTGCTGAAATGTTACTAATAAATGATTCTGTATTTGGTAAATACAGTCTTAGTGTATATTAAGTGGAATAAAACTGACCAAATCAAGAACACTTAACGCTAACTGCAAGAGATAGCATGGAAACCGCGGAGCAATGATTTACGCCCCTAAATTTGGATTGTGTCTCCATCTCAACCAAGGTTAATCTCAATTATGTTCGTTGGAATTTTTTAATCAAAAGTTTCAAGCCCATAAAATTGTGCTAAGACCGCTACGATACCCAAGCCCAACACCGCCTTGTAAAGCATTTTTCAAAATAAAATGCTAGGGTTTTAGATTTGGTAGTGATGAATCACTTCATTGCTTCTATCTAGGTCACGAACAGAGTGTTATCGGAGAGAGAGAGATGGCTAATTGGAGGAGTTTTGGCGATCGGATGATGCATTGCCACCTGTCGATGCTAAAAATATGGTGCAATTGTTCCAATCCGGCGAGATTTCACACCTCCGGTGCCGGTGGTGGTGGTGGTGGTGGTGGTGGTTTGCTCCTTGGAGGTGGATGCTTCAAAAATGCTGCGGCATATTTGCCAATCCGACGTTCTTCTTCTTCTCCATCTGTAAGTACTCGATCACTGACTTCACCGTTGCTCATGTTACCTCCCAAAACTGTTGTTTGCGATCACAACAATTCCTCAGAAAAGTACGACGGCGACGGCCACTATTGTTTTCATTTCTTCAACCTTTGTGAGCAGAGTCAATTTAGGGTTCGGAAGAATCTTAGTGTACCATGGCAGAGGGACGTCCTCATGCCAGACGACGCACGATGTGTGGGCTCTTCCCATGGCTGGCTTGCCTTTAACCACCCTCGCAATTGCCACTCTTATCTATACAACCCCTTAATAGACTCTCCTCATTTCCCCTACATTGCCCTCCCTTCCGTCGAAACCATCCACTCCGTTCGCGCCGTTCGTAACCTCAAAGCCGATCAGCTCTCCCCTTCCCCTACTCCCATCACACAGTTTCTGATCTTGATCCACGAAAACTACGATTTCAATGCCGACAGGTATGAGGTGCAGTTGTCCTCCAAAGGCGCCTGTAATTATTTCGTACGAAGGGTTGTTATGTCATCAGCCCCGTCAGTCCCCTGTTATTCTTCCTCGCTATCAACACCACAACTCGACGGCGGCAACAGTGGCGACAACTGCACTATAATGGCCCTCCACAGCGCAAGTGATGACATTGCCTTCTGCAAACCTGGAGATGACAGGTGGACTGTCTTGGACGTTTCGCTCCGGGCTTATTCGGACATAACATATTTCAGCAAGGATCAGCGATTTTATGCCATGAGAGGAGACTACAGCATGGAAGCTTGGGACCTCAGAGAACCCTCTTGCCCCAAACAGCAAGTGTTTAATAGACCTGACTTTTGTCATGGGAAGGTACAGAATAAAATTAGGGAATCTTATAATTGGGCTCAGAGGGATTATTTGGTTGAATCCTCCGGGGATCTTTTGCTGGTTTGCAGGTTTTTAGCTCGAAATATTGATGAAGATGATGTTGTGCATCCTCGGAGGTTGGAAGAGAGAGCAGTGAAGGATAACATTAATGATGAGGAATGGGAAAATAATTTCATTCACGATGATGATGCTTATTGGACTCTGGGATTTGATGTTCATAAGTTTGATTCCGATCACAAGAAGTGGGAACCTGTGGAATGCTTAGGAGATAGAGCACTCTTTGTGGGTTCTAATCATTCCTTTTCTCTCTCCGCCCGCGATTATCCAGAGCTGGCGGGGAATTCTATCTATGTTGCTGATGATTACTTTCGAGGATTTAACGACACATATCGTGGTCATGATAATGGTGTCTTTCACATTGAAAATAACTGCATGAAACCTTATTATCCAAACAGGTTGAAGATCATTGACCCAATACCAGTTTGGGTTGCCCCCAACACAATGTAGATTCTTCGCACAGCTATCTTTTGGCTTACTAAGCAGGTTTCCCTTGCCTCCTTTCATCTAGGTAAGGTTGTGATGTTAATTACACTTATTATATATACAATTGCCTAATAGGGTAGATGTTGGTGTTAATTGATTTATGATTGAAAATGTGTTTTCGCATAAAATTCTCATTGGCTGGTGCTTATTAGTGTATGCTTGGTCACCATTAATGTGTGCGTATAATTAAAATTCGTGCATGGTTGCTAAGGATATGATTCAATGAGCATTGTCCTATTGATTGTTACCGTCTTGTTTTGATTTTTACTGTCTTTGTTTGGATGTATAGAAGATGAAACTTGATAACCTGCTATACATTGGGCATCTTGCTTGTTTCATTTAATATGCATTACAGTTTAATCTATGCTTAATTTTTGAAGTATCCAGTTATTTCTTTTCTAAGATGGGCAATACCAAGGAGTAGTTTCGTAATTTTCATTTGTAGAATTATCTGAAAGATTAAAATCTTAAAAGAAGTCAGGATGCAGTTGATAGATCCTTTTTGAGTATTTTAAACATTGTGAAGTTAGTTCTTTTTCTGAAGGTTCTTTTCTGCTAGATCAGGCTTACTAACATTACACAAATTCAATATGCTTTTTTTTTTTTTCTCGGTGTGTATGCGAGCTAAAAGCAGGAATGGCTAGTCAATCTTAATTTGAGGTTTAGTATCTTGATTCCACTGAAGTATTTGATCTAATCCAATACTGTAACAATAATGTCTGAAGAGTGTAATGCTACAAACAATGATTGGTTTTTGTTGCAACTCCAATACAGAACCAATAAGAATAGACTCTCTCTCCTCCTGGGTAAGTTTTGTTGTAACTGAGGTGTACTTGAAATGTGATTTTCCTGCAAATCAGGAATTTCTAAGGATGACAACATAAGTTTTTCTCACAAACAAGGATCTGTCATGAAGACAACGATCAAGAAGATTTCTATCATGTTAATATCTTGCCATCGAATGTTTGCATTTAGCATGTTTAATTTGCCATGACAATCGTTAAGAAATTCTCCACACATCTTCAAGTTGGTCAATTCACCTTTCAGGTGTCAACATAAACCCTCTCCAATTCTTTTTAAGCATCTTCAAGTTGGTATCAATGATTAAAAAAATGTTATGTCATCATTTTTATTAGGATTAAGTTGTGAATTAATCGTAGAGCAACGATAGGGTGTTCAAATTCAGACGTTGTATATCTTTATTTTTAAATTTAACATAATAAGTAACAAATATTTTATTATTATTATTTAAGAGTAATGATACTCTCTTATTTAATTATTGAATTGAAAGGATTATTAAATGACTCAAGTCTAGTGGCATTTCCTTGCCTCCTAAAGTAGGGGTCATGTGTTTTAAGTGGGGACAAGTGTGTTGCTCTTTCCTAGCTTAAATAATAATAATAATAATAATAATAATTATGACTCAGTTCACTTTGGATACATATGAAGAACTCTAGAAAAAAATGGAAAATTTAAAACATGTTAAGGGTCTGTTTGGTTACATGGAAATGAAGAGTGGAATGTTTGAGTAAAAGAAAGTGAAGTGAAGAAAATGAAAATTAAGTTTCCTACATGCATTTGGTTAGCATGAATATTTTCTTAAGAAAATTGTGAGAAAATATAATTTTGTTAGTTTGGATATCATAAAAATGAAAACAAAAGATTGTACATATCAAAACTAAATATTAGAAAATTTTAATGAATTTGAGTTAGATCAATCCACTTTAAATACCCAATTGTTTATATTCAATTTTAGCAAAAGTAAGATTGATTATTATATATTATAGGATAAAGTGCAAAAAACCCCCCTGAACTTTGCTCTCTCTCCCAAGAAACCCCCTTGAACTTTTTTTTTTTTACAAAAAACCCCCTAAACTATTCTCATTTTTGCAAAAAAACTCAGGTGACACTGCTCCGGTCATTTTTTGGCTGTGCCTATATGCTGTAAATTATAAATGGCAATCCTACCCTTATATACAGTACATATATGTTGTAGTGTGTGTGTATATATATAACACAGTACATATATATATACACGTATATATCTTCCGGTAACCACATTCAAAACCCAAAACCCTTGCTAATTTGGGACCCGATTTGGCAAATCAAACCAAACTAATCACAAAATCAACCTTAATAAAATCATTGCTTTGGATTTTGCTTTTGTCATTGCTGCTTTTCCTCTCCTGGCAGCCATGGCTACCGGAATCCGACGCCGCCATGATTGAGTTGTCCACAATTATTGGGTTTGAAGATTTGGACAAAAAGTATTTATTTGGATAATTGGAGGTGATGATGGGTTGGTGTGGGCTGGGAAAAAAGCAATAAAGTTTTGTTTTTCAATTAAAACCCTAAACCAAGACCACCAAATTCAACCACAAATATGTCACCTAAGCTTTCATTCTTTGACAAATTGTCATCTCTCTTTGTGAATCTTCACCGATCTGATAACTCAACAATCACAAATCGATGTTGTTGTTAGAAAGAGAGACTTTTCACCGGACTGAAGCTCGCCGAAACTGTTGCTGCAATTGGGTCTCAGCGTCTCGCTGATTTGTCACTTGCAGTTGGCCTTCGAGAGCTCAAGCTCCTCATCAGTGTTGTTGCTAGAAAGAGAAATTTTCATCGTTCTGCAATTCTCGCTTGAGTTCCGTCTCTGCAACTTCGCTGGAGTTGGTGGGTCTATGAAGGTGAAACTGGCCGGACTTGTTCACGTTGATGAAGGAAGCTGTAGCTCTCACTGATATTCACAATGAACATGCCTCATCGTCTTACCAGTAGGTCTCGTCGATTTTTGCTGGTCTAATCGGCTGTTCTTTAATGGAAAGATGGGTTCTAACTAAGCCGGTTCAATGTTGGAACTCCGGCCACTGATGGGTCTTCAATGTTGTACCGGCCATGGTAGTCATCATCCTCATCGCCGCTGATGCTATGTGACTGTTACTTGGCATCAATGGTGGAGTAATTAACGAACAAACCAATTGATGGTTTTTGTCGCGCGACACTGGTTTGGTGCTAAAACGATGCGAGGGAGATGATGAGGTTGGAACCTAGATGTTGGTTGTGATAAGGCAGTGAGCTATGCAATTTCTATTGGCTTTTGAGATTTTTTTAACAAATCAGCAATAGAAATTAATAAAGAATTAAAACAGGGCTCTTCAATTAAAGGGTAAAATAGTAATTTTCTTTTTCCGGTAAGGCCAACTTAACCTAATGTCCTTAAATGCAACTTTTTAATAGTTCAGGGAGGCACTTGTTAAATGAGGGGGGTTTTGTGCAATTCGCTTATAGTTCAGGGGGGTTATATGCAATTTACCCTATATTATAATATAGGTTCTGTTTGGTAACCCTTTATGTTTATTGTTTTTTTAAAACACTATTGGAGAAAAAATTTGTTTGTTAACATTTGTTTTGATTTTAAATAAAGCTAAACACACTTAAACGATGGTTGTAGTTCAATGCCAATTTCTAAACACCAAAAAGGCGTTTATAATCTCCACCAGCGATCTGGTGGATCTGCCGAGCTGCTCCACCAGCGAGAACAACCTGTTCTTTCTCATTCCCTAAAGCCGATCTCCTCCACCGCCCTCATCCGCCAGCAAGAAGAACCTGCTCATCATTTTTTTTGTCTCACCACCAGGTACTCATCTTTATCATTTTTTAGCTAGGGTTTGTTACCAATTTCTGTTCAAGGTCAAATCGTTTCAATTTTAGTTGAATCTTGAGGGTTTAACTTTTAGGTCAAATCTTTTACTTTACAGAAGAACTTGATTGTTTTGCTGATAATTCTTTGATTTGTTTATTCCATTCTTCAATTGTTTTGCTTGTTCTACAATTTTTGTACTAGTTTCTTCTTGAGGGTTGAATTTTTTAAAGCAGAACACTTTAGGTGGCCCAAATTGGGTATCCATTGTATCATATTTTTTTATTGTTTTCCTTCATTTCTACATAATCATTCGGAGGGAAATTATATTATCTATCATATACAAGCAATGATAGTTGAATTTGGGATCAAGAAGGAAATTTTGTAAGATGAAGTCTAAGTGATCATATATAACACACACACAGAGATATATAGATATGAATTCATAACTTTTAATGCATATATAATACCATATGGAGGCTTTACAGGGGTGGGGGATTAGTGATTACTGAATTTTCTTATCATGTGGGTCTTCAGCTGAATGTTCATCATGATGTGAAAGTATTGCTATACTGTTATGGGGGTGGAGGATTAGTGATTGCTAGGATAGTTCATATTCGTGTACGGTGTGGTGGGGTGGGGTGGGTAAAGAGTGGTGGTTTATAAAAACCAGTTGTTGGCTTTGATGTGGAAGAATAATGTGATAATATAGAGTTGATTGAAAGTATTGAATGTGGAATATAGAAATATGAATATGTTCACTGATTTAAATTGAAAATTTTCAGCTGAATGTTTTTGTGGAGTACAATGTGATATAGGCTAAAGCACTTGTTGACCATGCAATTGTTTTAGTTCAAAATATACATGTGTGTGTGTGTGTGTGTGTGTGTGTGTATTGTCACAGTACTAGGTGATGATCCTTGCATGTTGCCCTTACTTGGCATGACCTGATCGCTGGATTAGTTATTTTATTGTCTATTGAGTCATAAATAGTTGAATCACTACGGTAAATTCCTATTGCCATCAACTATGATTTGTGATCAAGCTGAGTTGTAGATCATCTACAATTCTTGAATTTAATATCGTGGAGTTCATTAAAGGTAGTGTATCATTAATCTTATGAAAGGCAGATACTATTCATGAATTTATTATCATCAATTGGATTGTAGATACTTGCTTGTCATTCTATAACTATGCAAATTGTTGGGGATTTTTGCATAGGTTCAGCAGTATAGTTGGGGTATTTCATTATAATGCATAGAACAGTCCCATGAAGCGTGAAGTCTTTTTGATAGGTCATATATATATACACAATGACTGATGATCTCGTATAGAAGGAACTGTCCCACACTGTTTAAGCCTAGCAAGGACTTGCTCGCTAGGAAAGTGGTCATTTGGTCACTAGCTGTTTTTTTTTTTTTTTGTCACATGAGTGTCTCTCACTTGTCTGATGCCTCTGGTGGATCTTGGTCACGATTATGACCATTTGGAAGAAAAGATTACGTACCCAACAAACTAACGACGATAAAGCAAACAAACCTACCACGTGGATGGTAAAGATGAATTATAACATGATTATAATACAAAGGGGCAGGCTATTATTAGGAGGAACTCCCATTCCAATTGTAGAAATGGAACTCCCATTCCATTTGTAAAAAGTGTGTGTGTCGCATATTCTGTAGAATAATTTTGATTTGTTAAGTTGGATTATGCAAATCTGCCTGCAATAGCTAGCTATTCTATGTCATGTTAAATATTTGTCATTAATTGCTAAATATCTATATGCAGGATTCCAATTCATGCATGGCTCGAAATCAAGTTGAGCCTAACCACGACAGTTCAAGCTCTCAGTGGGCTTTGTAATTCTTTTTTGTCTAGATCATGCAAGCAATAGATGTTAGTCTTGCTCTTGGTCTTGTGTCATTCTTTGTCTGGATCAAGTAATTCTTTTTTGTCATAATTTTTTTTTTCTTTTGCTTCATTGGGACTGTGGTCAATTGGCTATAAGCATGTATTGAACGAACAGAGTATCGAATGTAACTACAATTCTACATATCTTCGACATTAAAACAGCAATGTTTATAGACATGGCAATGAGATTGCTAAGCTTTCGAGGCAGCATCTGGCTTGTGACGTCGCTTTTTAAAATTTGCCCTTACTTCTCTTGATCCCATTGCGTGATTGATACAAATCTCATCGCATGTAATATTTCACCATTCCACATGCTGCGGCGGCGGTTGTTGGATCACCATCAGTCGGAGTCTTCAAAAAAGGTACTACATTTTCGTCAATCCAACGTTTTTTTCCTTCTTCTGGTGAAGAAGCAACAGTAGTAGCAGATGTAGTAGTAGTTGATGCAGAGGAAGCACGAGGTCGTGTCATTGATCAATTCCGTAGTTCTCTTACTCCTAACATTGTGCAATGCTTGATTTGTGGACAAGATTGGTTGCGTGCATCACGACCTTCACCACTCCCAATTCAAGTTGAAGCACAATTGGAAGAAATTGAAGCTCTTGAATCAAGTAAGTTTAATTTTAATTTTATCATATATTTTTATTACAAGTATTTGTTAATTGTTAATTTGAATAAAATAATTTATTTTTGCAGCCATAACTATTGCTTAACGACTTTTGAGATGGAGTTCGGGTAGAAAAATATTGCATTTAATGTTAAATTATTTTATTGTTGATATATGTTTAGTAATTTCTAAGTATCATTTCTTAATAAGTAGTACCATAATGATTAACTAATTTTTTTTTACTTTTCAGTGAAATTTTGTTCTTTGGATTGAGGAAATGTCATCATTATGCAATGCAAAGTTGCTGGAGGCTTGGAGCTTGGGCATTTACTTTTCTTCTTCTAAGATTTTTAGTTGTTAAACAATTTGTTTTTGGAACAGTTTACTGAATTATCTCTTTTGATTGTTGTTGACATGTTAGCTCTTTTGATTGTTGCTTAACTTAGTCTACAAGATTTACTAAATCTGTTTGTTGTTTTACAAGTTAAGTCCATATTGTTTTGGTTCCTCTTGATGTATTATATACTGGGAAAAATAATAATTTTTTTTTAAAAAAAAAATAAAATAAAAAAGAAAATCAACTACAACTGTCAAACCGAATTGAACCAAACTGGTTTTTTGCGGTTTGGTTGTTTTAAAAATAGTAAATTTGTTATAAATGGTTTGGCCTCAAAAATCTCCCAATCCGGTCCAAACCGGACCGTATGTACCCCTAAGAAGTTATGCTATATTGAGCAAGGTGTCAACTCAAAATAGTTTAAATAGGATTTATGTTTTTCATATAAGGAGAATTAATCAACTGGTGTTGACACCTTTTTTGGCATGCCACGTGGCGACCACCTAGTGGAGAATAACTATGGGATAAACAAGAAAGCCCGTAAGCAGGTAGTAGGCTTGATCAAGACTCTTACATAAAAAAGAAATGTACATGTCATTTATGTTTATCATATTTATGCCTAGCAAGACCTTGAGGAAGAGTATCATAAGAATTTGGGAAGGGAATGAACCCTTCCCGGTGAGACCACATAACTAAAAGTCTATATTTAGATGATATATCTTATTATATCTCCTAATTTGATAACTGGATACGTTTGATAAAGGGGCGGTGAAAATTTAATTACTCATTTTTTTTAATTAATAGTGACGTTTTTATAGCCACTTATTTGACACCCAATAAAACCGGTCACTATGAAATTTCACAGGAGGGGATTTTGCACCCCATCCACCCTCTTAATACGCAATGCAAGAACTGCATGACACACTTTAGTTCAAGGAGACATTAGAAAAAACTCTAATTTTTAACAAAATTTGAAATAAGAAAGAAAAATCGTAATAAAAATTTAATATAGTGTATGTTATTTATTTATTATTGTTTTTGGACCAGGAAATTTTTTTATTGAAAAGCTGAGTTGTAGATCATCTACAATTCATGAAATTAATATCATGGAGTTCATTAAAGGTTTTTTTTTTTTTGTCACACAAACGTCTCTCACTTGTCTGATGCCTCTGGTGGATTTTGGTCACGACTATGACCATTTGGAAGAAAAGATTACGCACCCAACAAACTAAGGACAATAAAGCAAACAAACCTACCCACATGGATGTTAAAGATGAATTATAACATGATTATAATGCAAAGTTTAGGCTATTAGGAGGAACTCCCATTCCAGTTGTAGAAATGGAACTCCCATTCCATTTCTAAAAAGTCTGGTGTGGTCGCATATTCTGTAGAATAATTTTGATCTGTACATTTGTTAAGTTGGATTCTGCAAATCTGCATATATAGATTTGTTCTCTCCCTGCAATAACTAGCTACTCAATGTCATTAATTGCTAAATATATATGCAGGATTCCTATTAATGTATTAGATGTGGTAATAGGAGTCTTTGTTTTAAATTATTTGTGGTCGTGCTATGCAGGATTCCCATTAATGTTTTAGCTTTGGATGCAAATGAACCATGTTGGTGCCAAGGATTAGCTTGTTGAGCTCTGTCAGTTGAAACTGAAGGTGTTCTTTCATGTATGGCTCGAAATCAAGTTGAGCCTAACCACGACAGTTAAAGCTCTCAGCGGGCTTTGTAATTGTTTTTTGTGTAGATCATGTAAGCAATAGATGTTAGTCTTGCTCTTGGTCTTGTGTCATTCTTTGTCTGGATCAAGTAATTCTTTTTTGTCATAAATTTTCTTTCTTTTTTTGTTTTGCTTCATTGGGACTGTGGTCAATTGGCTATAAGCATGTATTAGTACCATAATGTCTGATTGGCCTCCTCGGGTACACCCCACAATGGATGAACAACAAGGCCGTCTGAGACGTGATGGACTTCCCGATCGTTATCTAGTGCAGTCTTCGGGGGAGTTGTTGATGGTTGTTAGGTACCATGCTAATCACGTGTATTGAGACCATTGCATTTGAACACATTCTAGAACAATTCAGTGGAAACACTACCGTCGACTACACCTCCAATGGTCGTTGTGGTTTCAATATCCTTAGCAAGGAGAAAATCGAGCGTTGGAAACAGCAAAACCCTCTAGCACGATATATCCATATCAGTCTTGTTCAAATTAAAATTACATCGCTCTTTCGACGCGGTACAGATCAACCCGTCATAGCTATTGTCATGGACAACCGTTTCCATAAGCCAGTAGATGCACTTATCGGTGGCGTCCAATCCAACTTGGTTAACAATCTAATGTGGTTTAAAATTAAACCTAATTATTTTGTTTCACTTTCGGATCCAAACATTGAGAAAGTACTTCAAGTCAGACTCCAGTTATCAAAACTACAAATGGATTATGACTCTTTCAGTCTCGGGATCCAGTGGAAAGTTCTATACGAACTTACTCGCGAACCTGAAACGGCTACTATCCCTACAATTGACTCCAAATTAGTCACTTTGTTTGAACCACGACCTTTCGATACCATTATTGAGCCCAAATTACTCAATTGGACTGATCTCGAAATTCCTCGAAATTGGTTATTTAATAACATCAATGCCGAACCAAAATTGCGTATTACAGAACCTACTGTAGCAACAATTCATGCCTCAGGCTCAAATCTCTATATTACCAATAAAGAGAAACCTTCTCAAATACAACGTTCTTTATTAGCGAGAACGACTGGATGGGAAAAAATCCTCCCCCCTCGTTCCTCTGTCGATGCACCTCCCAGGCGCAGATTTACATGGACTGAAAAAGGAAAAGCTCCCGTCGACCTAAACGGAAATGCTTCCGTTTTACCTGGTTCAAATCATTCCATGAACTCAGCAAAATTCTTTCATTTTCGCACCGGAAAAGATGAATTTCTAATTGCTCCCTCACAGGGCAAAAAGCGTAAATATACTTATGTCAATGGTATATTTAACTTTAAAGGTTATAAACCCTATAGCATTTGCGTTCTTATAGATACAGGCGCAACCACCAGCTGTTGTCGCTATAATGCTATTCCATCCGAAAAATGGCAGCAGATGAAACATCCCATTGGTGTTCAAGGAATCGATGCAGAAGCACCTATGAATGTGATTCAATTCAAAGCAAAAGATGTTGCGATTTGGCTTAATGATAAAAAATTTATTATTCCAAAAATCCTTTGCTTTCCATACATGCATGGTGACTTCATTCTAGGATGTAATTTCATATATAGTTATCTTCCTTTACAGTTAAAAGAAAAAACCATTTCTTTAACTTTAAAAGATCAAACAGTTGTTGAAATTCAAATTCAAGAAAATTTAGCTTCTGTTTGTAATGAAAAATTCTTTCCCCCAAAAAGAGATACTAATGATTTACTTGTCTTAACCGATACCCACTGGTTATATGACTCTCTAAGACAGAATTTCTCTGATAATCCACTTAACTTGTGGAAAAGAAGTCCTCGTTTTTGCAGCTTAAAACTCAAAGACGATAATGTCATCATACGGGTCAAACCAATGATCTATCTTCGCCAAGATATTGATGAATTTGACGCTCAACTTTAAGACCTGCTTGAGAAAAAACTCATCGAGCGCACACGCAGTCCACATAGCAGCCCTGCTTTTATGGTTAGAAACCATAGTGAGGTAAAACGTGGTAAAGCCCGAATGGTAATCAACTATAAACGGCTTAATGAACATTTAGTCTTTGACGGATATTTTATTCCTCGAAAAGATGTTCTTATTAATCAAACTCGTGGAGCAAAAATCTTCAGTAAGTTTGATTTCAAAGCTGGTTTTTAGCAGATTAAGTTACGAAAAAAATCTAAGCCATTAACTGCTTTTAGCACCCCACGCGGACATTATCAATGGACCGTTATGCCCTTTGGTCTCAATACGGCACCTCAAATCTATCAACGATGGATGGATTCAATCTTTAATGATCTTAAAGATTTTGTTATTGTTTATATTGATGATATTTTGGTTTTCTCTAACAACAGAGAAGAACACAAACAACACCTCCAATGTCTTTCAGAAAAACTGAAACAACATGGAATCATCTTATCTCCAACTAAGATAGATGTTGAAAAAGAATCTATTGATTTTTTTGGTTTAGTTTTAACCCGTACTGGTATAAAGCTACAAGATCACATCATTATTAAAATCCATGATTTTCCTGACATTATTCAAGATAA